CCTTGTCGTGATCGGGAAATAACGGAAAAATCCATCGTCAATTCAGTGTATATGGTGGGCTAACAATTAGTATGATTAGTCAGCATTTAACTTAATGATAAATTGTTTGCTGACAAGGTCATTGTATCGACCATAGAATTAACGAAATGATGACTTTAAACAAAATTATTGATATTCTTGTTTCATCAACTTGTTTTGTATATAATATACAATGTTCCTCATTTTAGAAATTGTTCGTACGTTGAGTATGCTTTTGCGTATCGAATCAACTGAGAGATATCAACCCGGTATGCAGGTGATGAAGGTATATTGCAGGATATGTAAGGGTAGTTGAAGATTCATTTCATGATTTGTTTTGTTCTTTATTTCACACAGCAACTATTGACTGTGTTTTCGAGAACATTGATTATGTTCAACATTGCCCTCAACTCCATGTCGAACTTTTTGAAATCCCTTTGACTTTAAGGGGAGACAGGACACATGTCACATGACTAAAAAGACATATTACGTCATAATCGGTGATGATATATATGGTAAACGTTGTTAAAAGCAACAGTTCTTGTGTAATTTTATTCTAAATTCTAAAATTGTTTTTTAAACATTTAACTTTAGAAATTATTATTATTAAAATTTTCAAAGATCTTGCCATCGTTTAGATATTGTGAAGTTGCCCAATCCAGACATTTGTTTCTCTTTACCCTGCAGTCTGACGTCAGTGACGTCATAGACGTAGTGTTTGAATTCTCAGTGCAGCGAGATCAAGTACAAACACCCGTCATGATCAGTTTTATTTTATAATAAACAGGTCACAGTCAATGTATCGTGATAAATTTCTGAAGCAGATTTTTTAAAATTAATATTTTTTCGTGCTTAGTAGCAGAGATTCTCTCTATTTAGAGAATTTTGAATTTTTATGTTTTCGTGTGACGTCATAATTGATTTTCCGCACTGGAAAATACGAACGTGAAGCGTTTTTATCATGCTTACGTCTAATTCAACGATGTTCTGTGCGATATTGAGGTAAGCTTCACCCTGTGATATTTATGCAGTAAATAATTACGATGAAGGACTGACATTCAATCGTAAATTTAGAAATATTTATTGACAGATTTTTTTCCAAATGAGGTTTTTGTCGTTGAAGTTGCCTTGAAAAATGCAGAAATTATCCCACCTAAATACTATATAAGATTAAAACAATTGCTTTTAGATAATTTAAACACTATGAATATTCTGAAATATTTGATTATATAGTGTTATCTATCATATTTATCGTTTGTGCATAAAAATTCGCATTATGGACTCCGTTATGGGCCCGTAAACATGAAGTATCTAAACTCCATACAAACTCTAAACAGGGCGGTATTTGTGGGGCGATATCTTTTAAATAAGTCAAGAAATCCCATGACAGGACCGTTTTAAAATGTTAAGTACATATTAAATTAGTAATATAAAAAATACGAAAAAAATTCACTGACAGGAATTTTTTCAGCGAAAGGTCCTGTTCCTCCTTAAACAAATCCTGATACCGTTTAATCCCAGTAGTTATTTTTGTACTATTTTGTTTTTATACATTATTCTACAAATGTAGATTTAATAAAGTTTTTAATCCAACACACAGAGGGCATTCCCTTTTATATTTTTATTTAACATTTAGGTTTGTTAATTTACTAACATTTGTTTCTTATGTTTTATGCATTTTTGTCAAACAAAATGAAACAACAGCTATACTTTTCAATTTTTTGAAAACTTAATTTAAAAAAAACAATAATTTTATCAGAAAAACTTACAACTGGTACAATCTACTGGAATTCAGTAGCAACGGTTCCCTTAAATTTGCCAAGCTCTGTAAATTTTAAACAGCAAATTGTGAGTCTTTCTGGTAAGAATTAAGACTTGAGACCTGTCACGGCAGTTGTTGGCATAGTGAAGACTCCTCTCTTGCTCGTTGGCCCTGAGTGCCTCGTTATGTTCTAACTTTGAATCCCTTCACTTGTTTATGGTATCGCTTCTATATGAGAGAAACGATTTCAAATAAGACGTAAAACAACGTTCAGTCAGTCAATAAATCAAAGTGTTTTCGTTTTAAGTAATCATTTATAATGTTCAATATTATTTTTATTCAAATTTCATTCTTCCCCACCATTATTGAAAATTTTAGAAAAAGAATTTCGCAATAATAGGAGCTAAGAGGCAAAGTTAATATTCAAAATATTAGAACTAGTTATCCTTTTACCATGTCATATTAACAACAACATGAACAAGTCGTAAAAAATATTTTGTCATTTTATCATAAAATATTTCGTATATCTCATGTTAAAATCATACAATTAATTCAGCGCCATATCATTCTGTATCATTTAATTGGAATCAGGACAAGGTCAACTATTCAATCTTAAAGATTTTTTTCTGGTATATCACTGTATCTTTATCGAAGTTTTATTTAATGAACAAATATCTCGAGTCTCTAATAATTTTTCCATAAATAAAAAATGTGAGCTAGAATGAAAGTATGTTACTGTCATATTACTGTCATATTTATGTTTCATATTTCGATATTTTACTAGAAAAAGATGATAATGGTATTCTAAAAACCGTGCTTTATAATAAATGTGATCTGTTTTTTTTTACTTTTCAGTAATCAGCTTCCTTTACTGCTGCAGCAATATATCTTTTTAATCTGCATACGGGGTTTATATCTCTTAGAGCATGCTCTACGTATGAACAAGTACTTAAAACGAGGTAAGTTATTGATAAAGGAGTTGATAATATAAGAAAATTAGCAGTCTCGATGAAAATATTTTAAGTTCTTTGGTCGATACAATGACCTTGTCAGCAAATACTATCTATGTTTAATTGAAATACTAATTGACGTTTTTCATACTCATTATCAAGCCATTATTTACACAACGAATTCTCGACGGATTGTTTCTATTATTTAAATCCCACTTATAATTGAAAGCTGGTGTGGCCGTGGTGAGCGGTCGGATTGGCATGCTAACTGTTAAATTGCACCTGATCCCACCTATCAAGTTTTAGAGGTCCATATTTTTCTCTGCTCCAGATTTTCATTATTCATTGGACTTTTGAGCTGAAACCTGCACGTAATTTTAGCATACTTCATCTAGTCATTTTCATGTTCATTAAATGTGATCATTGCAATAAATACAATTTTATGTTACGTGCAATAGTCTGAGTAACATTTTTCATTAAACAAATGACGTCCCGGTATCTCCTTTGGTAGAACGATTGAAATGTGATCAGAAGGTCTTTAGTTCGAATTTTGGCTGCGACTGACCTTAGTTGATAAAACAAGGGGCCCATGAGCCCTATAGGTCACCTGAACATTATGCAACAACTTTCCAATGATAGACTTTGGTTCATGTTTTAAGTTAGATGCTATGGCATTCACAATTTTGAAAGAGGCACCATTGCTCATCATAACCATACACTTAACAATTGCTTAGTTTGGTTACTTAATATTCATAGGCAGCTAGGGTACGGGAACAAAAAACGCATTTCAACAAATCAGTAATATTCAGCAATAATCAGTAGTGTGCCTACCACACATGAACCCCTGATCCTAGGTCCACACATTGCACAATTTTTGAAAAGGCACCCATGCTTATCAAAAATGTTTGATTAACACCAAGGAGCAGATTTCAAACGATTAATTCACTTTCAGTATATAAGTAGAGTCCCCCCTCTATGGTACCCTTGACCCAGGGGCCTTGAAATTCACAATTCTGGAAGAAGGGTCCTTGCTCATCATAGATATATAGGTAGTTCATCTGCTTAATACCCATAAGCAAAGAAGAAATTTTCTAAGATTTAATGTATTTTCACTATATAATCAATAGAGCCCCGCCCTAACACCAGAAAACCTGACCCTGGGGCAATACACAATTTTGGAAGAGGCACTCTTGCTCATCATAACTATGTACTTAGTTTATTTAATACCCAGGAGCAGAGAAGAAGATTTTCAAAGAATTAATGTATTTTCATTCTATAATCAATAGAGCCGCGCCCTAACACCAGAACCTCTGATCCTGGGGCCATAAAATTCACAATTTTGGAAGAGGCATTCTTGCTCATCATAAGTATGTACTAAGTTAGTTTATTCAATACCCAGGAGCAGAGAAGAAGATACCTGACCAGTGACACACCCTAAGCTTTATATATTTCATATATAAATTATGTAAAGGGATTTAATTTCTATTTATCAACAATTGCCTGCGTATTTTTATTGAAAAAGAAAAATTTTAAATATCTATGAACATATTTAGTTATAACATAATCATGATTCTTCAATTAAAATACAATTCTGAAATTTAGGCACATCAAATCCTGAAGCTTTGCAAGATAATAAAAATTTTCGAAAGACATGCACTTACTTAAATTACTTTATTGATGTATACCGATAAAGTTTGTTTCTCTAAGTTTGGCACCATTTATTTTAATTTCTTTTTTCAATATTTATTATCAACGTTAAGTAATAAGAATGCTATATTAACATCATGATTCTTTTTATTTTTTTAAATTCAATACTCCTTGCTAAAAATGGAATCTAACATTACATAATATTAGAATGCCTTCATTTCAAACTTCCGTGCTTGCTACCACAATCCAAGAGAACCAAGGAAAGAGGTCACAGCAGGTCAGGGCGTTTCTGTGATATCTAGGTTTTACTGTGGACTGTTGAACCATCAGGTGATTAAACGCTGGTTTTCAAACAAGAAAGGCATCGAATGATCCGAAGAAAAAAAGTGGCCTGATTCAGTCTGGACGATTCCATTTTGAAATTAGGTATGTTATTTATGCTTGTACTGTTCATTTAATTTTATCTTTAAATCAATAATGATAAAACTACACATTACACCATTAAGATAGATACAATTTTAAAATTGACTTAGCGCCCCTTATTTATGGACCAGACAAAATGCCCAGTGTTGGTATAAATAAGTTGTACGTAATTAAAGTTTATGGACACTAATCTTCAAGTGAAAGATAAAGCAACTGTATCATTTTTTTTACAATGATGAAATTTCTAATTTGTTTGTTAGTAGGTATCACAACAGTAAAAGCCGCGTCTGTCAATTTTACAAATTGCAGTAAGTGAAATTTTATTTTTTACTTACGTTTTGACCCATACTAGACTGATCAATAAGTTTTACTTAAAAATTACTTTTAAATTTGTTATTGGTGTTCATATTTCTTGTTGTATTTATGTTTTTAAGAATAAAAATATCATGCCTGACTTTGATTTTAAAATTTAATTTATGTTGATATTAACTAAAGACTTCTTCAATCAGAATTTCGAATTCCTGAAATTCTGTTTTCTAATCCTCCGACATATTAGTTACAAATGTATTGTATTCTAGCGGGACGTTTATAATCAGTTCAATACCTTATTACAATAATGTTTTTTCAGGTCCGGGTTCGGGAGGGATCCACGGTAAACTGACCATTGTTGACGTAGACCCATGTCCAGCTCTACCTTGTGCACTTCCTCATGGCAAAGATATTACACTTCATGCTACCTTTACTCCTAGTGAGTCTCAACTTTTTCTCTAATCTTTATTATTTATAATAATAATTATATTTACATTAACAAAATATCTCTTCATTGTTGTTAATTGTAATTAACTTTATTTAAATCAAGCACCCATTTTAACTGTTTTGGATAATAAACATGAAAGTTTATTATCGTAGAATTTAGATAATGCAAATAAATACAACGAGGTCAAAAATAGAAATGAAAAAAATAAATAATGAACATGATGCTCACTTTTTACAACAGTTAAATTGAGCAAATCTGTAGAAGAAGTGTTATACATGTGCATGTATATTCTGCTGCATCGTGAAATGGATTCGTGTTTGTTACAATAACACTGAATGTAATAAATTATTATTTTAAAAAATATAACTTTGTTTATTTTACTGTAAGCCAAATATCTCCTAAATTTACCTGTCTCGTCTCTGAGAAGAGACACTTAAATTCCCGATAATTGTATTATATACAACAAACAGCAAATGAAATTTAGCATTGAAAATTCCATGTGTCTTACACATTTTACAATAGGTGTGAGTTCTTCAACATTTAAATCTTCGGTCCATGGCATCATTCTCGGACTTCCGGTTCCATATGGCGTACCTACAGGATCCTTGTCCGGTCCTATTGTAGCAGGACAGGAAGTTGTATACACAAACACCCTACACGTGTCGCCACTGTACCCTAAGGTAAGAATAATAGTAAAATATAAAAATCAGGAAAATAAATCTAAAATAATATCACCATTCACAAATATATTCATACGTTAACATCCATATGACTTCGGCAGAACATGCAAGTTAAGATTTTAATACGTAATTTCTTTTCAGATCCGTTTGATTGTAAAGTGGGAAATCAAAGACGAACATAATCATGATCTTTTTTGTTTCCTTCTGCCAGTACATATAACCAGCTAATTGTAGTCAACTAAAAAGCCGATGTTATTAGAAATTATAGCTTTGTATTTGAATGATGCATGTTTTAAAATATTATTGCTGTTATTCTTGTTAAATAAAATACATAAAGATATCAAAGTGACTTCGTAATATTGTTATTCAATAAAAAAATTTTATATCTAGTGATAACTAAAACAGAGATAGTGAATATAAATTATCCAAGAAAGAGGATTTAAAAGAAAATAATTGTCTCTACTGCTTTAAAATGAAACATATGGTGATAACGAGCAGCATTCAAGATCAAAAGTCCATAAAACTATTTAAGATACATGTAGGAGCAGAGCAAACACGGAGCTCCAAAACATCAGAGGTGGGATCAGGTGCCATGGAGGAGTGAGCATCCCATACCGACCAGTCAAACCTTCCATGGGCTCCGTGTCATTATCGAGAGAAAAAGGAAAAATCCCTCGTCAATTGTGTATAAATAATGGACTAACAATTACATGTAGTAGGAAACAGTCAGACAACATTTGACTCAATGATAAATTGTATTTGCTGACAAGGTCATTGTATCGACCATAGAACTTACAAAATGATGACTTTAAACAAGACTGATGATATTCTTGTTTAATCAATCTGTCAATAATTTACCTCGTTTTAGAAACTGTACATACGTAGAGCATGCTCTTGCGTAACGAATCAAGTGAGATATGCAGGTGATGAAGGTGTATTGCTGCATAAGTAAGGGAAGTTGACGATTGTAAAGTTAATCATCACGTATATCATAGAGCCTGGTTCTAAGATTACCATTAACATCTTTATCAAGTAAAATATCCAAATGTGAAACAGATGTGTCAGACTCTGTGGTATCTTTTATCTCAAGCTCACCGGAATATATTGTATAGACAAAAGAATGGAAATTACCATTGTTAATTGACAATACGTAGTCGATATATCTAAATGTCGAGTTGAAAAGGCCACAGAAAGTGTTTTCTTCTTTTCACGCATGAGAGTTTGCACAAATTTTGCATCAAATGAAGATAAAATAAGGTCTGCTAACAAGGGGGAGGGGTGGGGGGCAATTGGTACCTATAGAAATTCCAAGGGAACGTTTAAAGATCTGGTCTCCAACAATTACATAAATATTGTCAATCAGAAACTCAAGCATCTTCTTAATGTCAACTTCATAGTACTTGTGTGTACAATCAGACTGTTTTTATTAACAAAATAATTTTGCAAATGACCAGTGACAAGGTAAGTAAATTTACGAGTTCTTATATTATGTTTAGTAACAATACCTTTGGAGATATGGAGATAACGAGCTCAAAAGTCCATCAAACATATACAAAATATGAGCATTACAAACACGGACCTCCAAAACATTAGAGGTGGGATCAGGTGCCATGGAGTAGTGAGCATCTCCTGCCGACCGGTCACACCCGCCGTGTGCTCCTTGTCATGTTTGGGAAATAGCGGAGTCAGTCAGGATTCGATTTAATGATAAATTAATTATAATTTGTATTTGTATTGATTATCTTTTAGATAAATACAATCAGCAAGTTAGGATATACATTAACCTCTGCAAGACATTTACATTAGCCTATTATTCAACTTTCATTTAAATGTATTTTTGTACCTAGACGTTGTATTGCGAATATCAATGAAGAAGAAAATAAGTAGTGATTACAAAATCATATCAAAAAAGGCATAAATAAACTATGCAAAATTTGCTAAAATTTTGCATATATGACTTCGAAAGTGCCGCTTGCTTTGTTTTATTGTAGAAATTCCCTAACAAAACTGTGCTCTAATTTGCTATAGGAAAACTTTTGATTCAATTACCCTTAAGCTTTACTTTCTTTGAGCTTTCCAAGCATAATATTAGTATCTCTCAAGTTCAATATCAATTATGGAAAATATGGAAAAATAGATTGAGTATCCAATTTGAAATCCATAATAAACATATATCTAACTTTTCAAGATCCACTATTTATAGTAAAAACGTTGATTTATTAGAGTTAAGTACAGTTACTGTAACCAAAGTTAATTACATTTTACTACAGTACTTTTTGTTAGTCCTCGAGGGCCCCTTGTCTGATGTCTGATAAGTAATGACAACTAAATAGCATGACAAACTAGATGTATTCAATTTTCCACCTTCAAATCACCCTGTTCTCCGATATATGGCTGAAATATTGCCAACTCGGCGTTAAACAATAACAATCAATCATAATCAGTCACATTTCCTTGCCGGTATGTAAAATAATAATCCGCTATCGCCTGCACATGTTATGTTTCCGTACTTTTTAGATAATTAGTAACATAAGAGCATGCACCTAAAACTATATAAATATCTAAGTCGATGTACACTACTGGCAGATATGTTGATGCTATCATGGTTTCAACAACCTCTGTTTAGTCAGCCTTTCATAAGTTCTATGGTCGTTATAATGATCATAATATCTTTGGGTTTATGTGACTGATATATATGCTTTTATACGATTTGTCGGGTATTTGACGAAGGAACATTCCGTAGTCTTAATAAATACCTAGGCTGATGGCAGATTCGATCGTTCAACAGGGGATGTTTACTCCTCCTAGTCACTTGATTTAACCTCGTGTTTTATGTTCTATTGACAGATTTGTATTTTTTGAGATTTGTTGATATTGATCTGCTATCTTCATTATTATTTTTGATGCAGGTCTACTCTTTGCATGATTTCATTCAAAGCTGATTAAGATTTGCTGTAACGTCAAAAATTAATAACTTTCTAAGTTTTACTTTTGAATTATTTTTTTCTAAACTGAAAACTGATGTAGACTTGTGTTAAAAGGTGTTAAAAAATCAAAGTATTGACCTCAATCTATTCATGAAGGATATGGAGATAACGAACAGTATTCAACAAAATCTGACCACATGTAGCTTTTGTTCTACCAATAAAATTTAAATTTTCCAATCATCTTCCTTTAAGACAGCATGGTCAGTTTTGGTGAAATTTCATTAGAGCCATGATCACCAAGTCTATTTGTGCGACTATAAGTTATATGTTCAAGTTGAAACTGTTGTCATGGTGATAGTAAAAATGTGGAATTTTTTAAACTTCATTTTTCAAATATCTAGTACATCTTTACATTGGTTTTCAAAAATTACAAGTAAATTTGATAGAAAAAATTATCAAAAAATGCATGTACATGTAACTTTTAAGTCATCCGTCAAAAATTCTAGGGAATTTATATTGTAGGGTCATTATTAATGTGATTTTTAAAAAAAATAAAATTCTGAATTCTTTAAAAGTTTCTTTAAGGTTCTCACAAACGAAAAGGCGAAACCAATGAAACCAATTTACAACAAATTCGCGAAATAAAATTCATTGACCAATAATCTTTTTCTCTTATTATTATTTATGTTCTTTTCCTAGTCAAATAACATTTCGTCTCCCAAAGAGGGTGAACTTAAATCTTTCCACACGTTATCTTTTAGTCTACAAATCAGAAAAGAAGAAAACAAGGATTACTGAAAAGTCATTGAAGTGGACCAGTCCAAATGATATCGACATGTATAAAGGTCACCGATCACGTCAAGATCTTCCATTCGGTGATTGAACAGGAGGACTCAAAGCCATGATCAAATTCTTAATCCTTTCAGTGTTTACTCTCTCTACAATTAACGCTGTGTCTGTTAGGTTCACGCCTTGTAGTAAGTTACATTACATCGCTTGTTATCGCAAAACATTTTTTTCAGTAACTGTTTTCATTTTAGATTCTTTATTATATTAGTAATGGTATAAAAAATTGAGCACACTGTCAGAAAGACCATTTGGTAAAGATGAATCACCGTACAATGACATATTTAACAATAATGTAGATAGCAAAGATAAGAGGGGTTAAGTTATACTTAGTTTCATGTGCAATAGATCTATATTGGGCATTTTATAATTGCAAACAAATCTTTGAATACTCTTGTAAGAACATATTTTTTCAAAATGCATTCATTTTTCCCTTTATCCTTAAAAAAAGCTCGTTGGCTGTTACTATCGATTAAAAAGGAAATGATCTATAATGATTATTGGTATTTAGGAACACACGGTGGACATGGTCAGCTGAGCTCTATAGACGTGGATCCATGTCCAGTGGAACCTTGTGCACTACCTCATGGAAAGAATATCACTCTCAAGGCAACCTTTACTCCAAGTAAGTCACAAAGTGCATTCCCTTGTCATTGTCTTGACCAAAGGCCTGACAATGAAATAAGGACGATGTGAAATTCAACTATCTTAGACCGAAATAGGCCTATGATTAAGCATTCAATTTTAATTTTTAAAAGAAATGTAGTTTTATAGCTGAGCTTTATCTTATTTCACACTATAGATTACAGTACTATTAACATATTAACATTATTTTCAAGCTTTTCTGTCAATTTGTCCAATTTCAACCAAACTTGCCACAAAGTATCCTTGGGTAAAGGGGATTCAAGTTTGTTCAAATGAAGGGCCACGCCCTCATTCAAGGGGAGATAATTGGGAATTAATGAAAATTTGGTGGCATATTTTAAAAATCTTCTTCTCAAGAACCACTGTGCCAGGAACGATGAAACTTATGGGGAAACATCCTCAGGTAGTATAGATTCAAGTTTGTTCAAATCATTACCCCCGGGGGTAGGGCGGGGCCAAAATGGCCGACCAAAGTTTTACATAGAAATATATAGGAAGATTCTTTAAAAATCTTCTTCTCAAGAATGACAAGGCCATAATTCATCATATTTATATGGAAGCATGCTCAGGTAGTGTTGATTCAAGTATGTTCAAATCATGACCCCCAGGGTAGGGCAGGGCCAAAATGGCCGACCAAAGTTTTACATAGAAATATATAGGAAAATTCTTAAAAAATCTTCTTCTCAAGAATGACAAAGCCATAATTCATCATATTTATATGGAAGCATGCTCAGGTAGTGTAGATTCAAGTTTGTTCAAATCATGACCCTCGGGGGTAGGGCAGGGCCAAAATGGCCGACCAAAGTTTTACATAGAAATATATAGGAAAATTCTTTAAACATCTTCTTCTCAAGAATGACAAAACCATAATTCATCATATTTATATGGAAGCATGCTCAAGTAGTGTAGATTCAAATTTGTTCAAATCATGACCCACCGGGGCAGGGCGGGGCCAAAATGGCCGACCAAAGTTTTTAAAGATATATATAGGAAAATTCTTTAAAAATCATTTTCTAAAAAATAGCAAATCCATGATTGGTCATGGGACTACTTTTGGATTGAAACTTTACAATAAAAAGTCATTTTCTACTTTTTCCTAGCCTTAGTGCTTAGGTGAGCGATGTGGCCCATGGGCCTCTTGTTTCAAAAGGAAGAGAACCTTAAAAGAGGGAATAATCATTCTTTAGTTGCTTTGGTGTAAGTTTAGTGGGAATTAAGAAAGCCCCACGAAAAGGTGACAAATGTTTCAATTGTAAATTAATCAACTTGATTCTATGTGAGAGCGGGACAAAATTTATTATCATCCTGATCATGCGATAAGAACGTTTAATACTGATGTACATTTAAAAATGTTCCATTATTATTAAAACATTTGAAATATGACTGAAATACGTGACAATCATTTTTTCAATTATAAAAACACTGAAGGCTCTGGATCATATTTCAATACATGTTCTTTATTTTGAATTTTGAATGGAAAAATTTACTTGTGGGAATTGACTTCTGCTGACCAGTTTTAATCAGTACATATCTTTAGCTGGTGGCACTTCAGAATCAATATAATATAAGTACTTTCATAAACACCAACTGATTAAGTTTTAGTTTAAGTGATTTTTAGTACCCAAAATATTTAAATGTTTAAAACATCCAATGTTCTGTGGTAGGATACACCGACTAGTTTACTTGATATTTTGTTCTCTACCATCACTACATGTAAAAGATTGAAAAATGTTTTTGGCACATGGAAATCTTTCAAGTATATTATTTATTTATATGTGTTATGTGTTATGGTGCATCAATACCTTAACAATACTAAAATTTGATTTTTGAAAAAATCGTTAGGAGATAAATGAAACAAAGTGCTTCATTAAAATATCTTTTATTGCATCTGTATGTTAATATTCAACGTCAGAAATACACAAAATGTTCACTTACCCACGTTATCATGCACGGAACCTTAAAATTGATGTAATGGGACCAAAAGAAATCGAATTTAAATTTTATATTTTAATAGGATTAGATAAATTAAATCTTTTCATACCTTACTATATTTAAGGTATGATAAGATTGTAACATTTCTTTCAACATAGATGTAGACTCAGCCACATTCAAGTCTTCTGTCCATGGCATTATTCTCGGACTTCCGGTTCCCTATGGCGTTCCTACAGGATCCTTGTCCGGTCCTATTGTAGCAGGACAGGAAGTTGTATACACAAACACCCTACACGTGTCCCCATTGTATCCTCTGGTATGCGTTTTTCTTTGTTTTGTATATATATTCTTGAAAAAAACAACAGATTCACAATTAGTCGTTGTATTTTTGGATTTTAACAAAAGGCTAAATATAACTTTAAGCTATGGAATGTGAATTAGATGTTAAGTTTAGCAAATGAATGCAGCAATTTTGCCTCTAAGGTACAGATCATCGTTTAATTTTGTGAAGAAATTTGAGTATTTCTTTTTCAATATTAATTTATTTTAGATTCAGTTGAATGTGAAGTGGGAAGTTTTGGACGAACATAACAGAGATTTATTCTGTTTCCTTATACCAGTACACATCACTAGCCATTGAAAGGACCTCATTACAATAAAAATACGTACGATGTGATATGACGGATTTTTTTTTTATCTCGTAGCCCTTTATTTTCAGAGCAGCAGAAACTGTAACTGTATTCTTCGCATACTACAGAAAATAAAATTTTCATTAAAACAGAATGACAATTGCATTGTACTTGTCTTTAACGTTCTTCTGCTAGATTAAAGACAAAAGTGTTGTTTTAGACTTTATAAAATGTGTAGACCTACGCACCAAACATTAAACCAAAGGGCTTTCAAACATAAACTGATTCTTCTTCAGAGTCGTACGATTACCAAAACAATGTCACTGAAGTTCATTCCTAATAATGTCACGCACAATAGACAAAAGTTTGGACGATATGATAAGACTTTCTTTGGAGGACGGTCGTAAGGCAGTTTGGTTGTATCACTTTAAGTTAATCTTGAACAACAATAGATAAACGTTTATCAATTCAAATGATATATTTTCTTGTTTTAGGTCATATAGCACAATAAAATATAAGTGTACCTAGAAAGCCCTTTATTGGAATCATTTCATCAAAAATATATGCTGTTATAAACAAAAAACAAGTTTCATGTTTAAACCAAAACATCCTTCCTACTTTATTCTATAATTACTAGCTAGAATAACTTGAAAACTCTTACAATGTTAGGAATGTCAAAAATGACATACAAAGTCCCTTCCTCTACACGCTTAAGCACACAATAGCAAATACACATACTTTACTCTTTAGAGTTGCAAAGTTCCTTTTTGTCAAATCCTAATTACATGGATGTGACAAGTATATCATAGTCAATAATGAGATGGTGTTGAAAAGTTTAGACACAACATTCCTTTTGAGGGTCGAATCTCTGGGGAGTGGATGTTTTCTGCAAACGTTTTAACATTTTAGATTTTTTTATAGCACTTAGGACAAATTCCCCGAATATCATGATCTTATTTAGTAGCAAGATAATTGGGTCGTAATTTTATTGGCTGACTTGTTTCAATCCAATTGTTAGGTCTTTGTTTTTATACTGAATTTGACTTTGATTATCATCTACATGTACATGTACATGTAGCAGATCAATACACAGGGCTTACAATGGATGTCACCTTCAACGTGGGATTCTACCTTATACTAGGCACTTAATACATGCCATGGACAGAAGACTTAATGTAGTACTTCTGGAATTCCAGGGTGTCCCTGTTTTATGATTGTTCACAGATCATTTTGTTCATGACTTTTTAAAAGATCACAGTTTGCCTTACATAGTACTAGTTTCCAACACTGAAGGAATGCAGTGAAGGATGTGGAGATAACGAACAGTATCCAATATCAAAGTCTATAAAACAATACAAAATAGGAGCAGAGCAAACACGGACCTCTAAAACATCAGAGGTGGGATCAGGTGCCATGGAGGAGTGAACCTGTTGACCGGTCACACCCGGCGTGTGCATCTTGTCATGATCGGTTAATAACGGGAAAATCGTCAATTCAGTGTATAATTAATGGACTAACAATAAGTATGAAAAACGTCAGTCAGCATTTGACTCAATGATAAATTGTATTTGCTGACAAGGTCATCGTATCGACCAAAGAACGAAATGATGACTTAATACGAGAATGCTTATATTCTTGTTTCATCAACTTGTTTGCCAATAATTTTCAGACGTAGAGCATGCTCTTGGGTATAGAATCTACTGAGACATATAAACGCCGTATGCAGGTGATGAAGGTATATTTCTGCATAAGTAAGGAAAGTTGAGGATAAAAAGTTAAAGTCATCACGTTCATCATAGAGCTTGATTGTTAGATTACCATTAATGTCTTTATCAAGTAAAATATCCAAATATGAAACAGATGTGTCAGACTCTGTGTTTTCTTTTATCTCAAGCTCACCAGGATATATCATCTCGACATAGGAATGGAAATGACCATTGTTAATTGACAATACGTCGTCGATATATCTAAATGTTGAGTTGAAGGCCACAACAAATGTTTTTTTTCCTTTCATGCATAAGATTCTGCACAAATTCTGCTTCATATGAATACAAAATAGGTCTGCTAATAACGGAGCGCAATTGATATCCATGGGAATTCTAACAGATTGTTGGAAAACCTGGTCTTCAAAAACCACATAGAAACTCAAGCATCGTTTTGATGTCTACTTCAGAGTACGTGTGTGTGCAATCAGAATGTGTTTTAACAAAATAAATTTGCAAATGACATATGACCAAGTCTTCAAAGGTCTTTAAGTTTTATCCAAGAACTAATAACCAGAAACCAAGTGTAAACGCCATGCCAAATCTTTTATTTCACTTTATATCAATACATGGATTAATTTGAATCTTCTGACAATACTTCGACAACTGCAGACAAGGAAATCGGCATTTTGTTGAATCTACTTTAAATATTGAACGCTAAAGTATCAAGATAATTATTTCAAAGACACACGTAATCAAAATGTAGGAATTGGTTGTCATTGGTTTAAGTAAGCTGGGAACATATGATTTTGACTAAAAATTGTACTATTTTGGGGAGATTCTCGGAGAAAGTAACTGAAATTCAGCAATAGGTTGATATTTTCTGAGTTTCAAGAAAAAAAAAACTTCAATATGTACAATAATTATTACAAATCTATCGAAATATAAAGGAAGATGTCAGTTGAAAGGCTATTCCATTTGTGCAAGATTTTTTTTTTATGACAATGTACACTCGAATAGTTTGAAAGAACAAGATGGGGTTTCTATACAAATATTGCCCTGTGGTTTTCTTAAATATGAAACTGATGTAAAAAATGAAAACTCATATTATCTGAATCATTGAAATTCCATGCAGAAAAATCATACAACTCATTTTTCTCACATGTATTCCTAATTGCTAATGGTGATGTCATAAACATGTACATTTTCCCGTATTTTCTTTAAAAAGTTGCAGAAGACAACAATTTTAATGGAATTTTCTTGCAAATAATATTGTCATCTATTACAGTCATTAACTCATGATCAACTAATATTTGGGCCAGTTTCAAAACTTTTTTAAAACATTAATTTTTTAGGGCACATTGAAGCTAAAACCACACCTTCTTCTTTCCGAATTATTTCAGAAACTTTAATGTGCATAAAAAAGAAATATTTTTCTAACAAGATTCTAACTCAGAAAGAGAGAGAGGGGGAGGGAAAAAAAACCCAAATATTTATCATTTTCTATTTGCAGCTCAAAAACACATTTCAACATAGTTCTAACAGTGTACACTAGATTTTTTATTCGTGCACCTGTTCTATTAATACTTTTTGAAAAATAAGTTGAATATTTTAAATTTTAATTGGTGGACAGCAGTTTGGACTTAATATATCTAACAAGTGGGATTAAATAGTTAAAATATATCTTAAAACATTGGGTGATGTCGTTGAAGTGGTGTTCCCATTTCGCCCAAACTGTGAAATGCAGGTAACAAAAAGTTAAAAAGTACTAAGGCGAAATGGGAATTTTAGTATTTGTAAATATTATTACTAGGTTGATATAAAAATTTAAATAATAATTTTTTTTAGATTGAATTTAGCAATTTATGGGAATTTATGAATACTGTGAATGAAATATTTCCATTTCTATTTTTTTTCCAAAAAAACTCTTTGAAAGTTGTAAATATATTAAATCTTCAATGTAAATTAGGCAGGTCGAGAGCAGGAGCTAAGGAAATGGGCAGGCAAATTTTACATCTGTCTCTGTGTCTGAGAGGAGGCCAAATATGCAAAAAATCTGTGCGGCTTTTTTGTATTTGACGTCAGTGGGCGAGGACTATTGAAATTAACATGGAAGTCCTCGTGTGATTTAAGTCTATGTCTACATTTTGAAAGTCTAAATCTACAATTTTATTTCACAATGAAATGGAAATATAAAAGTGTATTGAATTAAAAAAAGGTCATATTATTTAAGAAATATAAAAAAGAGCAATAAAGCACTTATTTAACTTGACATATACATGTAACTTAATTGTGCAATACCAAAAAAAAAAAAAAATACTTTATGCTAAATATATTAAATCTTCATCACCTTAATTCACCTGAGAGCTTACTAAGGCGAAATGGGAATGCTAAATTTTACAGCTAAGGCGAGACGGGAACAAACCGTTGAAGTTTTTTTCAATAAGAAATCACAGACGACAAAATACGTACCTCGTATTTACTTTATTTGCATTCTCAAATACTGCTTCACTTGTAGATCATCTGTAATAAAAGTGTATTGAATTAAAAAAAGGTCATATTATTTAAGAAATATAAAAAAGAGCAATAAAGCACTTATTTAACTTGACATATACATGTAACTTATTTTAGTATCTGAGAACATGTATACATGTAACATGTTTTTAAACATAGTACTTGTTGAACATTGACCTTTATTTTATCTTTATCTCTTTATTTGACATAAACAAAATGTGATAGCCATGAAATTAAACATCGAATCATTTTCATGTCATTTTTTTCTGACTTGTGTCCTTGAAAAATCAATTTTGATTTTCATTTTTGAAAATAACGAATATTAAATTTCATGAAAACAATTCGACAAGGTAAATGAAGGCTTAATGAAATGCTTTTTTCGTTTCGAATATTAGTTTCTGAAAATCAGCCGTCTTAATGACCTTCTTGTAAGATTCTTAGTTGAAAAGTTCAATTGAAAGTTATCTTCTAGAAAACATAAACACGAAAATACAAAGTATCCATATGAGCGAATTTATAAAAAAAAAATTATTCAAGTAATGAAGCTTATTTTAATTATTGAGGGGTGATCAAAAAGTTCGCGAACTATCTCTATATTTTCAAAACCACTATTCAGATCAAAATGAAATTTGATACACCAATAGTATTCAGACTTATAGCAACTATGGACTTTGATCATGCATTCATGTGTAGTGAACTTTTAAATTAGCCAGAAAAATGAATTCTCCCTCTTAATTTTTCTTAAATTCTTATTGTGATTACTTTTTTTTCTAAATGAAAAAAAGGATAGTAAATTTCCGAAGCATTTTAATTAAGCATGAATCGATATTACATGCAATTCTTAGCCTCATTGGAAAAGTTCATATATTGTTCATCGGCAATCGGATCAGTGCGTCATTTTTTTCCATCATACTAAAACTGACGCAAAAAAAAAAAAATAATAAAAAAAAATAAAAACATTGAACAAACAATTATTGTGAGATGAAATATATGAAGATAACGTACATTATTCAAGCTCAAAAGTCCATTTAACAATACAAAATAGGGACAGATCAAACACGCATCTCTAACACATCAGAGGTGGATCGGGTACCATGGAGGAGTGAGCATTCCCTGCCGACCGATCACACCCGCCGTTGTGTTTATCTGTCATTATCTGGAAATAACAGAAATATCCGTCGACAATTCAATGTGCATGTAATGGACTAATTACTAGTATGAAAACCGTCAATTGTATTTGCTGACAAGATTATTGTTTCGACCGCGTCTGATCTATGTCGATAAAAATGTGTTTCACATTGATTTAATATGCAAGAGCTTGCTCTACGTACTACAAACAAATTATAAAACAAAAGAAGCATTTGACAAAACAAAGATATCAACAGTCCTGTTTAAAATCAACGTTTCACATACTGAATTTACTTACAATCAAGATTTATCTTTAAGCCAGATGTTGACTGACGCATCATAGAAATTCAAAGGCAATTATTTTCACTCTGAATTGTTTACAGGGTCCAACTGTCCTATCATGACAATTAAGTAGCCTTCGACAGTGTGATTAGTCAACAGCGTTTTTATTTCCAAAGCGCCTGATTGCACATCTTATGTTTTCATGGTCTGTGTTTGCATTTCTTTCATTTTGTACTGTTTCAATGAACTTTTGAACTTAAATACTGTTCATGGCATCTGATCCCACCTTTTATATCCCAACAGTCCATAATTACTCTGCTCCCTATTTGTATTGTTCCTGTGAATTTTCAAACTTGATTACTCTTTATCATCATAATTCATTCTGAAGTATATTATATAGATATATAGTATGTAATCCAATGTTCCTTCTTTACAAAGATATGGACCCTCTATTATTCACTTTTTCTAGATGACCATTTAAATAGGTCAAGGTCACAGCAGGGTTCAATATAAGTGAACAAACGATCGTTTTTGTTTCTATGAACTTTGTTTTTTTAATTACAAGACAGTACCAAGAAAGGAATAATGATAAGTCTGATTGCTTATTTTTGGTCAAGGATGAAACCCCTCAAGTGATATTGTTATATGTTTCCTTAGAGAGTATGTGGACCAGCAACATATATCTATTTCTGTCACTGACTTAATTAATAATAAAGGTTAAAGGTCATTACACATCATCAGTTCATAAGTAATATTTGTGTCTACGTGTCAGATCTGTTGATCAAAACTGCAGAGAGAAGATGGCAAATACAAAAGGAGAACACAATTCTTATATATACCAAGAATACTACTCTTGTTTTCTGTAGGGAGAGGGCACAGCATCAAAAACGTAAGATAACTGATATATAAACAAGTATCTGAACTACACTAAAACAATTATAATAATATCCTTTCATGTATTCATATATCATTTATTTATATCTGCATAAGCCTTGAACAATTCTTCACATCAAATAGTGATAATAAAAAAAACAAAATCAAAAGTGTACAAGTTATTCATTCAGAATGCTGTGGAATCATCATAGGTCATGGGGGACTAATGTTCATGGATTTCATTGGTCTTTGTTAACCAAAAATTGATATCCCTACATATAATTACTTTGTCTTCATATCACTGAATGGAACTTCATGAATACAAATGTACTTGTGTCCTCAGGAATGAGTAAAGTGTTGGTTACCCACAAACACTGAAGCCCCCGAATTGTGATTCCTTAAGCAGTTACATGAGAAAAACAGTTGTATTTACAATAATCCTAATTCACTAGTACAGCATGAATAAATTATATTATTATATATATACAACATTAATGTACATATCCCCTATTGATGATTCCTTCAAATGCATTAGTCATCTGAAAAATTAATCACTCTTTAATTTTTTTTTTACAAAATGACATGACATTTCTTTATTTGTTTAAGAATCCAATGACGTAAGTCAATTTTGCAAAAAAAAAAAAAAACAAAAAACAAAAAAAAAAAACAGGTACCTTTAGGCTCATTAGTAGTGGTTTTAAACACTAAAAAACATTTTCATAAAATGTAAAATATACATGTGCCACATATGTGAAAAACACATAATTATTATTTTGTAAACTCTTTCTCCGAATAATTATGATTTCCTTTATGTTATATTTTATTTGTGATTATTATATTTAAACCAAAGATCAAAAGCTATATGTGCACATTTTTCTACTAATTTTCTATCACTCTTTAAAAAAATATTTATACTATGGGCAACTTATCAAAATAATAAACATAGCACTAAAAGGGTGTACATGTAATATATGTGCTCCAATATTAAGCCATTTGTTACTGGAATATTAAGTTGTACATTTTTTATCATCAATAATAATATTTTAAAAATGTGTTAATTAAACACAGGAATTTGTGAGTGACACCAAATGCTGTTATCATAAAAGCAAAATATTTACAATGGAGAAATGAAGGACTCTGCAGTCTTCAGAAATATATTAATCTACTACAGTATATTACAGATACATCTATCACCATGTTTTTAACAACAATATAACAAGATTTATCATCTATATATACATGTATGACCAGAAACTAACACAAACAGATATATATTTAAAAATACAGGAAGTTCAGGGTAAATTAAGAATGTATTCTTTTTATTTTTTTAATAAACATGGTGAAATTTGACCTCTCTCTCTCTCTTTCATGTGTACAGAGCAGACTTTCTCTCTCTCTCTCTCTTTATCTCTCTCTCCATCTCTCTCCCCCTCTCTCTCTCACACACATAAAGAGCAGATTCTTTCTCTCTGTCTGTCTTCCCCTTCCTCTCTCTTTTCTCTCCACTTTTTATCATGACTCGGGGGATCCTTCCTTCCCCTTATCCTGCTGGTTTTCCTTGAAGTCTGGGATAGGGAGCTTGACACTGGGTGACTTGGAATCTTTGGGAGGGACATTCTCAGGTGTGCCGGTCAAGACAGGTGAGGTCTGCTCATCATCCTCCATTGATGGCCACTTGGAGGGCTGATCTGCTTTGTTTAATCTCTCGTTCAAAAGCTTCAGAGCCACATTTCTTAAAAAAAAAAAACAAATGATTTTCATTAAAACTTTGGAAATTTAAGCTATTTCATTTGTTTTCCTTTTTCTTGTGCATGTAAAATTATTTGTGAATGAATGAAAATTAACCATAAAATAATTGATACAACTAGAGCCGAGCTCGTTGCAAAGCAACGAATAGGTCTTCCGTTGGAGCTACGGATAGGAAGACGTAACCTTGAGTCTAGGTCAAGCCACATTCTAAAGTTATACAAGTAAGCAACCTAAAGGCTTGTAAAGGAAGCAACTTACAATGTTTCGCCAGGAAAAAGACTATAAAGGAATGTATGTGACCTTGAACTTTCTAAATGACCTTTCGTCAAGCAATGACAAACTCTGTTATAAAAATCAAATATGTGTATTACCGACTGGAAAAGTTCACATATGTTTTTTAGATATTCTTTTAGTCTATGAATCCAGCCAAAACATCTTATCTTTAGTGACCTTGAACTTGAGTCAAGGTCATGTCCTACCCTGCATTATACATGTATCAGCAATGTTTCACAGGTACAAATACTGTAGCGAATTTAGAGTTTCTCTGTGTAACCTTGACTCGTCCAAATGACTGGATGTGTTCAGCCTTATTTTTTTCTGAGCATATATCGAATCGGAAGAATTTATTAGGTTCAACACTATGAATTACCTAATGATTTAACTAAAAATATATCTACAGGACATGAATGCCCCGCCATGTGTATATTAGTGAATAATGCAACATTAAAATCTGTATTAGTGTATGACGTTTGTTTAGAATATCTTGGATAGTGTCTTAAAAATTGAAATCTTAAAAAATGGATATAGATTATGAAATCCCCTTCAAATAATGCATAAGCTTACATAAAAATATCTCAAATGGTTTCTTTAATACTAAGCAAAATGCAAATTAAAGACAAGAGAGGTAAAGGTCACAGGAAAGTGCAAGATTAAAATGTATCAGCATACTAAAGTTTGATAAAAATGTCTTGAATGAATTCTTCAAATCTGAGCACCACCCGTGTGGCGCAGTGGTTAGAGCATCTGTTCTACACTAAGGTTTGGATAGCTCTCAAAAGTGTGTATCAGCATATGAAGTTGAGTAGAAATATAAATGTTTTCTTCAAAACTGAGCTAAATACTAACTTAAGTAAAGTGAGATCAAGGTTACAGGAGAGGTCAACGTAAAACAAAAATACTGATGCAGTTGAACAGCTTACATCAGTATGTATCACCATAAGATTGCTGAAGTTTGAATACTTAGTCTTGAATGGTTGTTTCTACATGTAACTGAGTTAATGGTTGTTTCTACATGTAACTGAGTTATACAATAACCTGAGAAAAGTTAGCTTAAGGTCAAAGGAAAGGTTAAAAAAAATGTTGATGCAGTACATACGTGTAGCCTAGTACGTATCGGCACATATCAGTACATATCGGCACATGAAGTTTGATTATACTATCTTGAATGGTTTCTTTAGACAGATTTTAAAAAAAGTGAGGCCAAGTTCAAAAGAAAGTTCAAAGTCAAAATATGTTGATGCTGAAAAATAGCTCTCATCAATGTCCATCAGCATAGGAAGTTTTATATAAACAAGAAATCTGTGAGCGAATGCTCACTAAGAATACCCCCGCTCTGATGAGAATAAACACGATTATGTTAATATACACAAGATCCATTACAGACAGATGCACAGACAAACAGGAAGTTGACATCAGTTTCATATCAAAATTAATCCAACCAAATGGCATGCCTTAACATAGAGTGTACTAAAATTTCAAGCATCTGCGATGAGTAGTTGCTGAGAAAACTGCGACGAAAATTTGTTATGTATGAAACGGACAGACACACAGACAAACAGGAAGTTGACATCCAATTTGGACAAAAATGTATCCCACCGTATGGCACGTCTCAGAGAAGATTGTGTTAAAATTTCAAGCATCTGCGATGAGTAGTTCCTGAGAAAACTGCGACGAAAAATTCATAATGTATGAAACGGACAGACGCACAGACAAACAGGAAGTTGACATCCGATTTGAACCAAAATATATCCCACCGTATGGCATGTCTCAGAGAAGATTGTGTTAAAATTTCAAGCATCTGCGATGAGTAGTTCCTGAGAAAACTGCGACGAAAAATTCATAATGTATGAAACGGACAGACGCACAGACAAACAGGAAGTTGACATCCGATTTGAACCAAAATATATCCCACCGTATGGCACGTCTCAGAGAAGATTGTGTTAAAATTTCAAGCATCTGCGATGAGTAGTTCCTGAGAAAACTGCGACGAAAAATTTGTTACGGACAGACAGACGGACAGACAGACGGACAGACAGACAGACAGACACACAAGGGTAAAACAGAATACCCCCCTCTCCTTCGGAGCGGGGGTATAAAAATTGAATTGTTTCTTTAAAATTGAGCTTTGAACTGAGCTAAACGCAAAGCGACTGGACGGAGGGACAGACGGAAAGATAGAAGACGGACATGACAAACTATATATGCCTGGCCATTTTTATGGGGGAGCATCAAAAGTTCATAGAGAATATTTTATGTGAAGTTTGGAGACTTGTGAAACGATGCCTGGAGACCGATCCTATAGATGAGACCGTACTCGAGGTCTCGTGTCGGGGTAGGTGCTGGCATGAATAGTACCCATAGCACCTGATTCCATCTCTCCTGATTTGTATTATTTGAATGGTATTTTTACATGTAGCTTCAATACTGATCACTTTCTCCAGATTTTATCCCTCGTTGCTCAAAGGCCGTAAGTACCTGTACATTGTACATGTATAAATTCTCTGCCCTTCACCTTTTTTTTTATCCTAGTAAACTTTTAATTCCACCTATTTTGTTAACATAAAATTGCTGGATATATATACTGTCCAAAATCCAGAATGAAAAAATAAATGTTAGAAATGACATTATTCATTGTCGAAAATGCAATACAAAATTCCGAAAATAAAATATATCTAAAACTGGTACCTCTTCCCAACCCAAGAAACTTAATTAAATAGTAGACACTTCGACTCCAGTGAACATAGAAATCATTACATTCTTTTTTAGGTTTTAGAAATAAAATAAAAGACGTTAAAAAATTAAGAAAATAGGAAATTTAAGTTACAGATATTAATCGTTGTAGACCTTGTTTTTCATTCATTTGACCACTCGTAAAAAAATGTGTGTGATTCTATAAAAAATAGGTTGTGACTTTTGGAATTCAATACCAGCCCCAACCTACATGTACACATACCTAAACAAATCAACCGATTGACATTCTCGGCTCATCAGATTAACAATGACTGACCAGAAGGAGGTTAATATTCCTGTTATTAAAATAACCCAATATTAGAGCGAACCGATAATTTAAGTACATGTACCTCAAATACCTCAAATACACAGAAATACAATAAGTAAGAAAAGAATTTAATTGATATTTTATAGTAGAGATAATGATTAAGAGACAGTAATGAATTTTTTCTAATTTTTTAAAATCGTATTCTGAAAGCTCGGGATGCATATATTTTGGCCGCTTTTCTATGTAAAAATGCATACATGTATATAATTAAACTTCTATGCACAAGCATGTTCCAAGCATGTTCCCGTAAAATCGCGCAATTGAAATATTCTTTTCGGGTTTTTCCCGTGGGTTGGAAACTTCACTTACACTTACAATTACGCCGCGGTATCATGCATGTGTCATGCAGGCATAAAACTTGAAATTGATAAATGCACAAGTGGTTACGATTGATTAAACAAGCATGAGATAGAGTAAAATAAAATAATATGAAAGAGTCGACATGATTTCAAAGCCTATTTCCATTTACACAAGGCAACAGAGGTGGATGTAAACTGTAATGATATTACTGAGGGCATCGCACTTTGAAGAAAAATGCATAAAACAAATTCCAGAGTTATAGATTTTAATAATTAAAATTGAAAGTGCATGGATACACCCCCAAGATAAGCTCCAATTTTCAATGCCTATATAATGTCTTTGCAAAACATTTGTGTGACCCCCCCACCCCCCGGTAAAGATGCCTATGCTACACACCAATATAACTGGTGTTAAAATTTTTCAATAAATTTTAGTTTACATAAAATGATAACTGTAAAAAAAATTAGTTCAGTAAAATATTTAAGAGAGAAAGAATTTTCAAAGTACATGAATGAAAAAATCAAAATCGTTCACTTTCACATCGTAAAGTGACCATAGCGAAGATTTATCAAACAGGTTCAATTATTTATCATACCAAAGATTTGCAAGAATATTGACCAAGCCATACACATTTTTACAAAGTGCGTTAATATGGTCGATATTAACGCACTTTGAAAAGAAATTTTATTTTTTTCAAAGTGCGTTGATTTGGTCCCAAATTTTGAAAAAAAATTTCAAAGTGCGTAATTTTTCAAAGTGCGTCGTAACAGGGCATGCATGATGAAATTCGATTATTCGCGGATGATACATCATTGTTTGCAATAGTGGACACTGATATTAACACTCCTACATTATCTCTTACAACCAATCTTGATAAAATAAAGAAATGGTCAAAAATCTGATTTTTATTAGATTTCAGGTATAGGAGAATGTGTGTAGATATGTGAAAGGGATAGTGTTAATTGAATTAATTAATTCAAGATTTGCTAAATTGTTCGTTTGGGCGAAGGCTTAGAAAAAGTGACACACACTGCGTGTACAGGTACACATCAGTAAATGTTCTGATTAAAATAAAATTCGACGGACATTAATTTATTTTAGTTATCGGAAGACAACGTAATCTTCAGAGAATGAGACATTATATTTTTCTGTTTTTCATACCGCAGATTTCCTTTCTTTTGATTTACCGTTTACACGGGCCTGTGTTTTAACAGCTGTTTATAAATGCTGTCAATTGATATATGATAAGAGAAAATGATACATCTCTCGGTACTTTATTTTTTGGGGGGAAAAAAAGGTGAAAATATATAGACTGACACCTTAGTATCTACCTGTGTAATTATGATGTAATTACTATGAAATAATCTGAAAGATTCAACATATTTATCCACTCATCAATTAGTTAACAAAATTAATTTAACCATTCTGTGGTTTCTTTTGTGTATGACTGGATCACACGCCGATTGATTCCCGGTGACCGACTTTGCCCCGCGTTATCGAGGGAGGCGCGTTATATAATTGTAAACAAACAAAGTGAATGTAAAAGGCATGGACTTAATGGCTGTGAATAGTATATGCTTTATAGTTATGTTTTATTTTGTCTCTATATTGTTTGTTTTTATATGATAAGAAGAAACGATTATCTTTTCTTCCCTTTTTAGTAGACTTGGTTTATACGATTTAAAAAAAAATGAAATAAAATGGAAAGTTGTCAGTGAATAATCATGACAATTTGGGGAAAAGCACAAAGCACTTCAAGAACCTTATTCTAAAAAAAATATTAGTATCTAATGTAGTCATGTTTATTATTTATAGTAAGTTTGTTATGGTTACATACATGAGGAGCTCGCGTTTACGTGCTGAGTGAAAAGAATTACCTGTACACATATGGGTCATCATCTAGCTTATTTAAAACAAGACTCGAACAAAATAACAATTTCATGAGATCAATAAGATGTTTAAGCACAACTTTTAATCGACAGTCATTTCGAAATATTTACCGTTTTTGAGTTATAAAGCGAAAAATTTTAAGGGCCCTAGATCCCTAATTTTAGGGGCCAGCCCCTTTTAAATAATATTAAATGAAAGCTCTTGCAATTATGCACAACTTTTATTCAACATGTCTTAACAAAATATTTTTAGTTTTTCAAGATAAAAAGGAAAATATGTGTTAATTTTCGCTCTTTTAGGCGTTCTAATTTTTGACCCCTATATAGCGCCATTTTGAATACAGAAATCGAAAAACAAAAACCGATGTGCACAACTTCAATCCTTCTGTTATCTAAAACCAGTAAAATTTCTGCCCCAGGTTTTGTGGTCTCTGAGCCTTTGTCTGGAAATGAAAGCCTATAATTTTTCGTTTAAAGGGAAATAACTCATAAGCGGAAGTAAATTTTTGAAATGTTAGACAGCATTCTGATAGAATTTATAACCGTCTATAATGTCTGAAAATTTGAGCAAAATCCGTTGAGAAATGAGTGAGATATGAGGCCTCAAAGTTGGCGTCTAGGAAGAAAAAAAAAAAAAGAATAATAAGAATAATCTTAATCATCAGAATCAGTAGAAGGTCTTCCGTTGGAAACGGAAGACCTTAATAATCTTAATCTTCAGAATCAGTAGAAGGTCTTCCGTTGGAAACGGAAGACCTTAACTATTTCAACAAAAAAAAAAAAAAACGTTAAAAAACTTCTGTTGTTCATATTTGCGATGGAAGAACTATTCATAAGCTTCGATTGAATCAAAATTACATTATTGTTGTCTTGTACAATAATGATTTTTTTTTTATATAAACCTGTACATTGGATTGTATATAAAAGCCTTTCTTCTGCTTTTAGTCTTATTGATCATAAAGTTTTAAGTTACATACAAATATATTATAATAACATATTTTTACAGCAAAGTAAAATTTTCAAGAATGCAGCTCATATTGCTTTGAAGAACACAAAATTCCAACTTGACACTGACTTTAAAGCAATACTCACTTTCTCCTTTCTGCATCAGTCGGGTCGGTTCCTGGAAGGGTAATGGTGATTGTGGCATTAGAAGAGGAGCTTATATCATATTTCCTCTGTGGTTTCTTGCAGACTTTTATTTTTACCAGAGTTAGGAACACAGTGTTGGATACAATAGCTATTATCGGCTGCAGTCGACTGGGGAAAAAGCTGGAAAATGTTTGATAGTTCATATTAATTTAAAATCTGAATTCTTTTATTGTGTATATTTTAAACATGCGATAAAAATTATTTATTTTTCATGTCCTCATATTGATCTCTGTTGAATGTGATAATATATGATAATACTAGTATAATAATAATATGCTTTTACATTTCAACCAATTCAATATGTTCATGGATACAAAATATCCAGCAAGTGATAACTGTTATGCATCAATATTTTGCTATTGGATATCTTATTTCAAAAAAAGGAACACTTTTTTAAACAAGATGCCCATGGGCCACATCGCTCACCTGAGCACTGTGGCTTGGAAAAGGTAGAAAATTGGTTTATTATTGAAAAGTTTTAATCCAAAAGAAGTCCCATGACCAATCATGGCTTTACTATTCTTGAGAAGAAGATTTTTCAAGAATTTTCCTATATATTTCTATGTAAAACTTTGGTCGGCCATTGTGGCCCCGCCCTACCCTCGGGGGTCATGATTTGAACAAACTTGAATCTACACTACCTGGGGATGATTCAATATAAATATGACCAATTATGGCTTTGCTATTCTTGAGAAGAAGATTTTTAAAGAAATTTCCCATATATTTCTATGTAAAACTTTGGTCGGCCATTTTGGCCCCGCCCTACCCCCAGGGGTCATGATTTGAACAAACCTGAATCTACACTACCTAGGGATGTTTCCATATAAATATGACCAATCATGGCTTTGTTATTCTAGAGAAGAAGATTTTAAAGAATTTTCCTATATATTTCTATGTAAAACTTTGGTTGGCAATTGTGGCCCTGCCCTACCCCTGGGGGTCATGATTTGAACAAACTTGAATCTACACTATCTGAGGATGCTTCCATATAAATATGACCAATCATGGCTTTGTTATTCTTGAGAAGAAGATTTTTCAAGAATTTTCCTATATATTTCTGTGTAAAACTATGGTCGGCCATTGTGGCCCCGCCCTACCCCCGGGGGTCAAGATTTGAACAAACTTGAATCTACACTACCTGAGGATAATTCCACATGAGTTTCATCTTTCCTAGCCCAGTGGTTCTTGAGAGGAAGATTTTTAAAGATTTTTCCTTTATATTCCTATTTAAAACTTTGATCGGCCATTTTGGCCCCACCCTACCCCCGGGGGTCATGATTTGAACAAACTTGAATCTACACTACCTGAGGATGATTCCACATGAGTTTCATCTTTCCTGGCCCAGTGGTTCTTGAGAAGAAGATTTTTTAAAAATGCCAATAATTTTTCACTAATTCATAATTATCTCCCCTTGGAAAAGGGCGTGGCCCTTCATTTGAACAAATTTGAATCCCCTTCACCCAAGGATGCTTTGTGGCAAGTTTGGTTGAAATTGGCCCACCAGTTCTTGAGAAGAAGTCGAAAATGTGAAAAGTTTACGGACAGACAGACGGACAGACAGACAGACGGACAGACGGACAGACAGCTAGACAGACAGACGGACGCCGGACAAAATGTGATCAGAAAAGCTCACTTGAGCCTTCGGCTCAGGTGAGCTAAAAATTAAAACAACAGTAAAAAAAAAAAAATTCCTGTCTTTTGAGCAAGATATTAATTTCATAATATTCAAAATTTTAAATATATGATATTGAGTTTTCTGTTAATGACAAAATGATAATCTTATCTAGAATAAGGGATTGAAAGGTAGTTGATTCTCCGATGCTGGAAAGTAGAGAAATACAACCCAAACTGTGGGCAAAAATTCTTGCTTTGTATGTTGCACAGGGGATCTGAACCATTATGGTCAGACCAAAATATATATCTATTATTATAATATTATACATAATATTTATTATAGTAACTTGATCTGAAGGGTTGTATCACATCTCGTTGACAGGCGTGGATCATCAGATCAAACGAGACGTGAAGCGTCCAGTTTGATCTGATGATCCGCAAGGTCAACGAGACGTTGACGGTTCTTCGGATCAAGTTACTGTTATAATGATAAATTTATTATATACCCCCTTATAACTAGCTAATATAGCAGAATAAAACTTTAGAGATCAATAGCATAATATTTATCCATAAAACAAGGCATAAAAAAATGGACTTTTTAACGCGCAAGAAAAATAACATCATGTTTTTGCATACAACGTCATTAGTTTCAGAGAGGTGATATGGATTCAGAAAACCACAGTGTGGTGATCCGGAAAGTCGGATCACGACGTCACTTACATAAATTCAACAGTAAAATTGAGTGATACAATTTAGGTATATAATAAAACACCATAACACTAGTTTCTGTAGCCATGCCAACCAGTATGACCCTTTTCCTATGACATATTTTGCCTAGGAGTTATTCCCCTTAGCCGCCATCTTGTAGGGCAAAGTAATTAATTTACCTCTTTGAGCAACCAATTTTAAACATGCATGCAAGAAATATATGGGGGAAAATAATTACAATCTTTAAAATTATGAATTAATAGAGGCTTTTATAAACATATATTCATAAGAAAAATTGTGTTATCTTTACCTCATGCAGTAACCAGTAAAACAAATTGAACTTGGTTGAATAATGAATGGATCTGGGAATGTTGCCCTTACAATATGTCGGCTAAGGGGAATTACTCCTAGGCAAAATATGTCATAGGAAAAGGGTCTATTATGACACAGGACTTCAGGGCTTGGGTTTTCAAGGTCTTGTCTGAGGGTCAGACCATCAACTTTAATTCAAAGCATGCAAATTGCAGAGTGCTTGACCAAGGAAAAATTCTTTCTTTATTTAATTCACTTACTAGGTCAGTTGCAGGCTAGCACCGAGGTTTCAACCCATGACCTTACAATGATTTAGGGAGTACTCTACCGAGCTTCCATGCCAATTTATCATTCCATAAAAACATACACAATGACATGACATGTGGGCAGTGAATGTACAGATTATTTTCTTTTTTGCAAATGTTTTACTTTCTTAAACATATTATTTCTTTCCTGAATACAAATTAAGCCCAATTCCCTTTCCTGTTTAAGAATTTTTACCTCGCAAAAGAAAACTGGTCAGCCATATCACCACGGTTTCCATTACTGTGCTTCTGGTAAAACCTCAGATAAATCCAGCTGATCAAAATACCAAAACCAAACATAAATGGATATGGTCCATCTACCACATTAATTAATCTTAAAGTAACAGTAATAAACATTAACAGGAGTGGAATGTGAGTGTTCCTCAGAGTTCCGAACGGTGAACTCAGCAACTTGTGGTCTGGCATGACCTGCTTGACAGCAACGGAGAATCCAGCAACGTATCCCACCATCCCATGTATGTAGGTGTCGAAAAGATACTCTTCATTTTTGGTAACTAAGTAAATCCCAATGTAAAGGAAGGAAGACGCTAGAGCCACGCCTGTGTTCACCACTGCTAAAAATATTAGCATGTCCAGAGCACCCCATAACGGCTCAAGGAGCTTTCCACATAAAATTAAAACGGCAATGTCTGCCAACACTTCCCAAAAGTGAAATTCAATAAAACTGTGGGTGACAAAAGTCCAAACCCAGAAGTTAGGTGGTAAGACATAGCCAGGTGTCACCGCTAAATATGGTACAACTGATTTTGCAAATGAAAGAAAATATCCTAATGTCACTGCTACTGCTACTACCTTCACAACAATAGAACTTTTGCCAAATGACAAATAAATTTCTTGTCTTAGATTCTTGATCATGGGCATCGCCATGTTGACGGAAGTGACGCATCAATTGTCTCGTGGCATGTAGGAGTTACTTCCCTTAGTAGTGTCTGCTGATTGGCGGATCAAAGAATTTTATTTCTTCAACCTTTTCAATTCATTTTTGAATGGAATACATTAATCAAGAAAATCATTGGAATATTCCGATCGGGAACAAAAAATGTGTTTTTCCCCCAAAGAGATCATGATTACCATGATTACAAAAAGAGTGAACTTTCTTCTGAAAGACAGAAACAGTAAAATATTAAAAGGATGTATTTCGAAGTTCATGTAATATTATTAGGCTTCAAGCCTAGCTACACTTATTTTCTTTGAATTTTCAACTTTTGTACATTAGTTAAAGTCTTCAAAGAAAACATAACTGGAACTATAAAAATATCCAATTTACAAAATGTTTTATATGAGAAAATCGTTAAAATTACGGACATTGCATATACACAGTAAATATAAACGTTAACTAGATCTTAAATGTCTTATTTTTCTTTTATATAAACTGTTAAATTTTGTACAGGTCCATAAGAAAAAATATCAGTTTGGGGGCATAGCCTTATATTTTCAGTTGGGGGCACTATCAACTACCAAAAATTCCTTTGACAAAAAAAGGTCATCAGACAAACAATGATTTAGCATAATATAACAGTCATGTTTTCTATAGTATTCTAGATCTGTATGCTTTCTATACTTTAGACTTTACTATATATCGGCAAATTTTTTTGGGGGGGGGGCGGGGCGCCCCCCCACCCCGTGCACCCCCGGTTCCTATGTACACTTTTCATATAATATGTACCGTCAGTAATTCTACGGCGGGGAATATATTCTTCCTGAGTTTCAGACCATCTAAACTTTTCTGTTCTTAGATTTCTTTACCTTTTTATTTATTTTTAAATTTTTAAAACTGATTTATTACTCAAGCCCTAGAGGGGCTTCAGTTATCTAAAAGGATGCTAGGTCATCGATTTACTCAGTTTAGATACACAAAAAGATATTACTTTTGTAGATTAAAATATTTCTAGAAACAAAAATGAAGCTTATCTTGAAAAAGTCTGTATTTTCAAAGATTTTAAGCGTGCACATCGGAAGGCCTCGGGAACCAGGCTAAGCCGCAACTATACAGAGATTTCGCGCTTTCCTTTGCGTAGAAATCTCAGGTAACTTTTACAGTCGCCGACAAAGCATCATCGGACTAGCCTGGTCCCCTGTCTCATTCTTGCCAAGTGACGCAGAGTTTACGAAGCAAAATAGGGACAGGGAACCAGGCTATCATCGGACGAGTCCGCAGTTTACTCTGAAAGGTGACGCAGGTTACCCCATCGTTAACAAAGTCTACTATGCATGCCCAGAAAATGTAGTTGCACCCCCCCATGTGCATTTTGAGTGATAGTAAGATAATAGCACAAAATAAATGTTAAATTCTTCCTCATACTGTTTTTTATTTTAAAAAAAAAATGGTACTAGTTATCTTCAGCTTTGGTAACGGAACCTATATACTGTAACTTCTTTGGATTCATACGGGATATATATTAGACATGCCACTCAGCTAGATGGACCGTAGTCATGTGCCTGGATTTTTTTAGCACTCAGCCCCTCCCCCTTTCACGTTGAGAAACGTTTTTACCTATAGGTTTGTAACAACCTATTTGGATTGATGTATATTAAATGCTGTGATGTACATCAATTAAGCAAAAATACAAAAAAAAAAAAAAATGTAATAATCAGATAATACATACATGCAGTATGAAGTATATCAACATAAAAAAATATTTTATTAAATTAAAAAATGGCCACTATGTTATAAAATATTCCTGAAAGTGAGTAACGTAATTCATCTTAAAAAGTATTACGATTAATAATATTTATTCTAATTGAATTCAAAATATGAATTTGTTTCATGTACATGTATTTTATTCAACAGAAGATTGAACTCAATTCATCTTATACCATATAAGATATAAATGACACTTCCTAGTTGACTTTCTACAGCTTGAGTATCTTTGACGTTTTTTCAGTATATACTTGTTTATTTTTATCTTATTATTATTATTTTTTTGTCAATTGGCTTTAGAAAAATAAAAGATTATAATTTCATATTTTGATCCACAAAGTATCAAGAACACTGTGCAAAATCTTCTATGGCTTACTGTAACAACTGATTAAAAAATTAATTGATTTGATTTGAACATATTTTTTTTGTAATTCAAAATTATATTTTTTGTAATTCAAAATTATATACAAATCAAAGTTAAACATAAAAGTTTAAAGTGCACAGTATTTAAAAAAGTTTACAGAAATGCTCGGAGAATATAAAGCCAGAATTTTTTTTTTACATATACAAATACTGATATATTGTTTAAATGCTAACATGAAAATCTACATGTAAATTACTCATTAAGATTGTCAAAGTTAAACATAAAAGTTTTAAGTGTACAATATTTAAAAAAAGGTTTACATAAGATCAAAAAAAAATGCATTTTGCAAAAAATATCATAATTATATATGGACACAGTTTCAACTCATTTTTTGAATTTTTTTTTTTTTTCAAATGATCGCACAAATTTTAGCATCATTTGTTGATTAACAAAGGAAAAGTTCAAATTCTTCGTAAACAAGGACTTGTTGCACATATTTATAAAAAATATTTGATAACATAATGGGGCAAAATGTCACACATTATATACAAGAATCTTTACTTATTTGGTCTTCAAAATCTCATTTCAAATTTGAAGAAGACGTTGACACTTTGTCAGAATGGGTTAAATGTATCAGGTACATGTTAAAATCGCGTATTAAAAGATGGTGCGACAATATGAAAACCATCTATCCTTCTGTATTCAATAATCCAGAAATGATAAAAGAGAAATGTTACATTATCAGTACGTAACAACACGTTTGTAAGGCTCAATATATAAATTGTATAGAAGAACGGCTGGTAATAAACAATAGAATAAGAAGATACATTGCAGTTTTGGGTATTTAATTCCCGAAAAACCAAACTGATTTCGATCTATCATTATATATATATTTTGATTCCTTAACTTCAAGCCCCTTTCTTTACTCCTCACTAAGATATTAACAGTGGTGAAGGAGAAACTGCAAGAGTACTGTGCAACAATATATTCAAGAAGTGGTGTGACATAAGATGTGGATACTGAAAAATTCCAAAGAACTTTTGGACAACTTGAAATCACAAGATTTTACCAAAATCAACAGCTTAAAAACTTTACTTTTCAACTTGATACACAACCATTCCCCACAATGAATTAAAGTCCAGGCTTTTTCATATCATTTACAGCTGCTTTTTTAATAGAAATGGAACTCGTAAATTTACTTACTTGGTCATTGGTCATTTGCAAAATTATTTTTAAAACACAATCTGATTGAACACAAGTACTCTGAAGTTGACATAAAAAAAGATGCTTGAGTTTCTGATTGATAATATCTATGTGGTTTTTGGAGACCAGGTCTTCCAACAATCTGTTGGAATTCCAATTGGTACCAATTGCCTTCCGTTATTAGCAGACATATTTTTGTCTTCATATGAAGCAGAATTTGTGCAAAATCGTATGCGTGAAAAGAAGAAAACACTTGCTGTGGCCTTCAACTCACAATTTAGATATATCGACGACGTATTGTCAATAAACAATGGTAATTTCCATTCCTATGTCACGATATACTAGTATCCTGGCGAGCTTGAGATTAAAGATACCACAGAGTCTGACACATCTATTTCATACTTGGCTATTTTACTTGAAAAAGACGTTAGTGGTAATCTTACAACTTAGCTCTAAGATAAACGTAATGACTTTAACTTTTCTATCGCCAACTTCCCTTACTTATGCAGCAATATACCTTCATCACCTGCATACGGCATTTATATCGTATCTCAGTTAATTCGATACACAAGAAATACTTTACGTATGAACACTGAATTGACGACGGATTTTTCCGTTATTTCCTGATCATGACAAGGAGCACATGGCGGATGTGATCGGTCAGCATGGGATGCTCACTCTTCCATGGCACCTGATCCCTCTTTGATGTTTTGGAGGTCCGTGTTTGCTCTGCTTCCATTTTGTATTGTTTTTTGGACTTTGATATTGTATACTGTTCGTTCTCCATATCCGTCATTCAGGAAATCACTAGAAACTGTCTAATCATATTCAGAATTAACTTCTTTAATGAAAGAATCTGCCTTGAACGAACATATATCAGTATATTTAACCAATGTAAACAAAAACGTGGCACGGGCCTTGTATACAAAACAAAGGTTTGGAGCTCTAAATCTGTCTTGTATCTTGACAACTGAAATTACGATTTTTGATAATCATTAAAACTACCTTAATGGAATGGAAAAATTGATTTGAAAAATTTCAGCTGAGACTGTGTTCATGTTCCTTTATCATTAATTACATTGCATCTATATAGGTCATTATTCAATACACAATTGGTTTGAAAGAGACTCTGGTTTGAAGGAGTCTGTTAGCGTACTAATCAAAGTATGATTATAATATTTTTCAAAAAATCATATTATATTATAGTTTGTCAGTCAGTAAAAACCAGGTATGCACATAATGCATATTTTGTATACATACATATATCACAATTATGCCAAAGTTCGTGTTCAACTCGAATAGGAAGTGTTCAAGCTTTTGAATACATCTGTCAGTTACTAACAGTGGCGATGTAGTTGATTGAAATAATTTGACATCAGTAACAGGTCAAAAGTATTTTACAGAGTTCATAAAAATGACAAAGCGTTTGATTGAGCTGTCCATATAACACCAATTTGCCCTCATGGATGACTTCTTATAAGCCGTTCATGATACCCTTCGTATATAATTTGTGACAAATCCTATGGTCGTAATAAACATATGTACAATGCCTTCTCTGATTTGTGTCATTCTTACTTCATTAGAAAGCAATGGCTCACGGAAGAAAGATATCTAGTTTTGTCAACCTTTCACTTAACAATTTCAATAAAGTTTTCAAGATTCCTTTGCCCGGTTA